AAAAGTTTTTCTTCTATATTTACTAAAAGCTGGAGCATCTGGAATAACTTTTCTCTCATAAATAATGCATTAGGTTTGATCCCAACTGTAAGAATCTTGTAAAATGCTGAACAAATCTGACCAAAATCCTCCATCTTCATCTTTTTAGAAAACATGTAACAATATCTGTCACGGTTAAGGCTTTTTTTTTGTACCTTGTTGACCCCTGTGTGTTCTTTAGTTGCACTTCCTGTTTCTGATTACCTGTGAAGTCACAATCATACATACCTGTGAAAACTAGCCATAAAACCAAACCGTGATTCAACTAGTTCAATGTATACAATGTCATAGTTACTTTTAATATGATTAAAAAGTCATATTTTAAGTCTAGCTTTATCATTTGATCCCAACCTTTCCACTACCACAACCGCTAAAACTACCAGCACTACCAGCTCAGCTCACCAAGATGTAATTAAAAAGCCAACGCTACATCCATGATTGAATGTTTATGTGAATTGACGCACTCATATTTCTGCTTTAGGGCCCATCAGCGTTTCGCAAATCAACATCTTTACGACTCGATCAATCGGACACGGAACATTAAGAGCGGGACATTGGTCACTTTTAATTAATATGTTAATGAGACACATTCAACGGAGATGACGAATGTGCGGATTGCGGATGTTGCCGAGACAAAGTTTGCTACAGAATGGTATAGACTACAGTAGCTAACTAAATTACGCTTCAACATGGACACGGCAATAAAAGGCAAACGTGTGAGGCCCGGTCTTGCGTGTGCTTTTGTGCGGGATATTGCCGATCACGCGTTGGCTTTTGCAGAACTGGCCCGTGGCGTGGGATGATTCACCGCTGGTTTAGCCTTTAACACAGATGCTGCCGGTGTAATATGTCCCATAATAAAGCAGCCATGAGCCAATCCATCACGCTAACATGGCATCTTTTGGACTTTATTGCCGGCTAACCAGGCGCCGTGTGTCACCATTCAACCGTAAGACACGATACAAATCCGCCAACTAAGACTCCCGTGTTTCGCTTTTAGTCAATTGTGGGGAAAAATTGTTTGTTATTGGACATTTTTAAAGCCAGCCGTGGTCCGCCTTTCCGTGGTTGCCTTGAGGGTCTGGCGGAGGAAGATAAGTGCTCGGGTGCCCATCTCAGCGCCGCCGCCTGATAATGGCGAGCAACAAAGAATGCATTCTCATTACGCCGGGCTTTGTTGTCTTTATTGCGCTGCCGAGTTGATTATTTTTCAAGAGAACTAAGAAGGTTTAATGCGCTCGCCGTGGCTGGATATACAGTGGTGCCGATAGCCCGAGCAAAGTGCAGGGGAATGGATTGGGCTCGTGTTGAAACCGGTTGTGGAAATGGCGGGATTTATCATGGTTTTGTCCTTTCATTTGTGCTCCTCGTATGGATTGTTTTGTCAAAGCGCTTTCGAAATGTGGCTCTCAAAAGGACGGCCGCAACATGGACCAACATCCAGCAGTGAAAGCAGCTACAATCTCAGGGCTGTTGGAGTCGGACGAAGGGAACTCTCGTCACGACACACAAAGTAAACGCAAAAAAAGTTATGAAAAATAAGGACGAATGTGTCTTAATCTGAGCACATTCTGACTGTGCCTTTAAACTAGATCTGCAAATGGGACAAAGCAAAAATTATCTTGTTTTAAAAAGATACACAAGAAACGTCTCGCTTGGAATGAGAAAATAAAACAACAGTTCTTGAAATAGAACTCATAGGCTTTGTCCCATTGGAGGATCTTATTGTAGAGAGATGTAGATGTAGAAAGATAAGTAGATACAATATTGAACCCAGTCGGAGAAATTCAGGTGTCCAGCAGCAGCAAAAATAAAAATTATTATTCTAAAAAGATAACAAAAGTAATATTCAGGAACAGCCTTTCAGGTCACAGCAGCAGAGGTGGAGTAGCCTCTGGGTGGAGCAGGACAGGTCACAAGGTGGAGTAGCCGCTTGGTTCAGACCATTTTCTCTGCTCTGGTCCAAAGTAAAATGCTTCAATAGCATTTTTAAAAAAGTTAGCATTCCTCCAGTGGATTTTCGGCTGATATACTTTATTCGGACCCTGAATCCTCTCTGCTCTGGTCTGGACTAGTGCAAAACCATCTCGGATAGAAAAAAGCAATACAAATAAAAACTGTAAAACACAAAACAACAACTGTTTCAGAGACACTTAGGGCCTTTGTAACTTTTTTTGCAGTGTAGCTGATAGATCGTGAGAAAGACTCGCACCATAACCCTCAAACGACCAAGCCACGACCCCATTGACTTTATATACAAATATTTCTATATAAATGATTGTTTTAGAGTTCCTTTATATTTAAATCTAATATTTTAGTCCATATCATTTAATACGGTGTGGAATTTGGTATATACACAATTTATATACAAACACACCGTACCGTTTTCAGTTTTGGGTTTTTTAAGTTCTATTTCTAAAATCTATACCACAAACACTCACTCAACATGAATATTTCTTATTTTGTCATACATTGTCAGTATAGGTTTTGCATCAGAATTGGTCATGTTACCCTCATAGACCAATGGAAAAACATGTATTTTCAATTTTGTTTTTATGTGTCTATTTTGTTCATGTTTTTCTGAGTGAATCGCTGATAAATTACCCACAAAAACCCAGTCTTTACCCTCCAATCGCGGCTCCTTTCGCCCGTGTCCCACTTCTTATTTGACATTTTCTCCCCGATCGTCGCACCTTTTAAACCGTCTCAATCGCCGCCGGGTGATGTCACGGCACGAGGTCACGACATCCATCTCCAGGAACAGAAGAAGAAAATAACGAGGATGCGAATGGGCGGACGCTGTAATCACGGAGAATATTCAAGGGCTGGTAAACAGGCCCCGTGCGCCGGCCTTTTCGTTGGCTTCACACAAACCGCGGCGTTTTGTGCGTCTCCAAATGGCAACTGTGTCAAGGAGTCCTCCCAGCGCCATTATGTAATCACAAGGAGAGGGCGCTTCATTTTCCCAAAGAGAGGATCCAATCTGAAGGCGAAAAATAAAGCTAATGAAGGCTTCTTGCTCCAGTCTATTGTGTGGAGATTCTGTGGCTAGAAAAATAAAGTATCATTTTTTTGTGTTTTTTCACAGCTATTAGCGTCTTTTGATATCCGCTGTGCATTCTCTCTCTTCGTGTCTGTCTTGTACATTTTGCAACAAAGTATCCAATGCTTTTCAGTTGTTTGTCTTCACTTTAAAGGAGATGTACAATGCAAAATTGACTTTTTTTTAAAATCATTGATTCATTATAAAACGCAGACCTGGAATAACTGTTTTTAGATCTAAATTAGTTAATAATCAGCTACTTTCTGTCTCAAAGCTCCCGCCCCAGTTCTGAATTTGTTTTCTGCAAATGAAAACGAAAGTATTGCTCATAAATATGCAATTATTTAAGTGTGTTTGCCTAAAACAAATTCTTCCCCTCCCTCTGGTGGTGGCACGGTGGCTGAGCACTCTTGCCTTTAAGCAAGAAGGTCCTGTGTTCGAATCCCGGTCGGAACAGGGTCTTTCTGAGTGGAGTTTGAATGTTCTCCCTGTGCCTGCGTAGGTTTCCTCCGGGTACTCCGGTTTCCCCTACCAATAAAAACATGCACACTAAGTTAAATCCTCCAGTTCCTCTAACCAAGCTGAGCATCAACATCTAGAGATGCGTTCCCGGGCGCTGTTACTATGGCGACCACTGCTGACGTAAGCCTTAGCAGCATCAGGACGGGTCAAATGCAGAGGATGAATTGCCCTACAGGGGTCAATAAAGTGCACCTTTAGAGTAGGCCAATGGCATTATTTACCCTTCATACACAATATTTTCTCCTTCCATATCCTAAATCATGAAATGACAAAGTAAATAGTCTCAATATAATTTTGATTGGTCAAAATGAATACATAATATTCTAGTCTCTTGCTTTAGCAACAAAGAAGAAAGTATGAAATCTTTTGATCACTTTTGCTTTGTAATGCTAAAGCTAGTAAAACTGTATATTTATATTTTAGTGCAAAAAACACGACTCTCGCTTCTCAGCAAGAAGGTCCTGGGTTCGAATCCCGATTGGAACACTTTCTGAATGGAGTGAGTTTGCATGTTCTCCCCGCGTCTGCGTAGGTTTCCTACGGGTGCTCCATTTCCCTTACTGGGTCCTGGGTTCGAATCCTGGTCGGAACAGGGTCTTTCTGAGTGGAGCTTGCATGTTCTCCCCATGTCTGTGTGGGTTTCCTACGGGTGCTCCGGTTTGCCCTACCACTAAAAACATGCACATAAGGTATGAATGTAATGAGTGAATGGATGGTGTTTGGTCGGAGACTTTGATGGACCAGTGTGTTCGGCGACACGCTTCCGTCATCAGTGTGTGGAATTTTATCCAAAAATATCTGAACTCTGAACTTTGGAAAGCGCGTTGGGTGACCTTGATCTGTAAAATGCACTATATAAATAAACATTACTTACGTACAAAAAAAACTAAATTAATGAAATTACTAGTGCAGGTTTATGGCCTTTATTCTACGATGACAACACTACATAAAAACACAGTTAAGTATATTCTTTTAAAACCATTTTCCTCTTCATTTCTTTCCGCCATTCTACAGTTATAGCATGTTTTTAAGTTTCCCTCTTGATAAATGAACGGCTTGTCAAAAAACCCTTATCTCCAAACTGCACGCTCCACTAACTCCGTATGAATATCCGTCATTTCAAAGATTTCAAAAAACCCATAATATGGTTAATCATTAGCGGAAGTGTCAGACGAATTACTGTATATTTGACACAACTACATTAAAACTCTATATCATCTCAAAATTAGCTGTTGTCAAAATGTTAATTCTTAAGTGTTAAGTGCTGGGGCCTCGCTTCCCTTTTAGCGCTGACAGTTGCGATGCTAATTTATGCCAAACTGTCACAAGGCAGGAATTTTAACGCGCTCGCATTAATTCACCTGCCTTCAGCCTAAAGCAAAGTGGTTTTATACTCTCAAAACAATGCAAACGGCGAACGACTCCAGCCGCCGAAGCCCTCGAAATCCTTAATGACGGGAGCCGGAGCGGTGCCAAAGGTATAAGGACGGCGGGGACCTCGCATTACGCCGCCGTTCTCCAACCGCTCGGAGCCCTTCGGTGCTTTTTCAGTCTGAGTGTGAGAATGATCGCTGAGGCGGCCGAGGACGTGGTGCACTGCAAAAAAAAAAGAAAAAAAAAAAAAAATGCTGGCTAGATTTGGCTTTCATTTGTTTTGGTTTTAGTTGATGTTGTCGCGGTTAAAACGGGATGTGCTGAATTAGAGGGATAGATAAACGTCATTATGCCAGTGCGAAATTTACCTGAATTTACTTTACTGGTGATTGCGATGGTTCTCTCTCTCTCTGTCGGTCTCTCTAATTCTCTCTCTCACTATCTGTCTCTCTGTCTCTGTGTCCCTCGCTCTGTCTCTCTCTCTCCCTCTGTGTCTCTCCCACTCTGTCTCTCTCTCTCACTGTCTAACTCTCTCTCTCACTTAAATCTCTGTCTCTTTAAACTGTCTCTCTCTGTGTCTCTCTTTCTCACTCTGTCTCTCCCTCTCTCTCCCTCTGTCTGTCTCTCTCTATTTCTCTTTCTCTCTCTTTCTCTCTCACTTTCTCTGTCTCTCTCTCTCTTCTCCCTCTGTCCTACTGTCTCTCTCTCTGTCTCTGTCTCTCTCTCTCTCTCTCTGTGTCTCTATCTCTCTAATACTCTCTCTGTCTCACATTCTCTCTCTTTCTCTCTCTCCCTTACTCTTACACCCCCTCCTCCCCTCCCACTCCCCCGTATACCCTCCACTGTTGGACCAAAGCCTCGTTCGACCCCTGCTCTTTGGGTAAAAAGCATCAATCCCGCCGCAAATATGATTACGGTGCTGCACGGTGCTGTCCGGAGGTGATGGCGGCCGGAGAGGCTGTGGAGGAGAGCTCGCTTTCTCTTCGCTTTCTCTTTGCTCTCTCTTTGCTCTCTCTTCGCTCTCTCTTCGCTCTCTCTTCGCTCTCTCTTTGCTCTCTCTCTTCGCTCTCTCTTCGCTCTCTCTTCGCTCTCTCTTCGCTCTCTCTTTTCTCTCTTCGCTCTCTCTTCGCTCTCTCTTCGCTCTCTCTTTTCTCTCTTCGCTCTCTCTTCGCTCTCTCTTTTCTCTCTTCGCTCTCTCTTCGCTCTCTCTTCGCTCTCTGACATAATGTACCGCAGCTCTTTGGAAGCCTTTCTGTGGTGTAGACTAACGCCGAGAGTCTTTCTCTGAGTCGTGTTGAGCTCGGGGCACGAAGGGTTTTGGTTTTCAGAACTATGACTTTTTCTACATAATTTATTTCCATGTTTTTGTTTTGGATAGAAATACCTTAAACTATAAATTAATTTAGCCATTTACGGTTGTTTTTTGATTGGTCCTGGACTGGTTTTTGACAGGTCCTGGACTGGTTTTTGACTGGTCCTGGGCTGGTTTTTGACTGGTCCTGGACTGGTTTTTGACTGGTCCTGGACTGGTTTTTGACAGGTCCTGGGCTGGTTTTTGACAGGTCCTGGACTGGTTTTTGACTGGCCCTGGGCTGGTTTTTGACTGGTCCTGGGCTGGTTTTTGACTGGTCCTGGGCTGGTTTTTGACTTGTCCTGGGCTGGTTTTTGACTGGTTCTGGGCTGGTTTTTGACTGGTCCTGGGCTGGTTTTTGACTGGTCCTGGGCTGGTTTTTGACTGGTTCTGGGCTGGTTTTTGACTGGTCCTGGGCTGGTTTTTGACTGGTCCTGGACTGGTTTTTGACTGGGCTGGTTTTTGACTGGTCCTGGACTGGTTTTTGACAGGTCCTGGGCTGGTTTTTGACAGGTCCTGGACTGGTTTTTGACTGGTCCTGGGCTGGTTTTTGACTGGTCCTGGGCTGGTTTTTGACTGGGCTGGTTTTTGACAGATCTTTGGAAGCCTTTCTGTGGTGTAGACTAACGCCGAGATCTCCATCCAGATAAAGACGCAAAAAAAGGATCAACGACCCAAATTTAAGATAAGAGCGTGACACAAGCAAAGAATTAATGAATCCAATAAATTATGAAAGTGCCCCAAATCACCACAGCCTCGCACGGCTTCTCAAAACGCCCGAAAGTAATTTTATACATTAGTCGCCGGGACATAAAGACCAGATAATTAAGATGAAGAGATCCTTTATTCATCCCACGGTGAAGAAATTCCAGTGTTGCATCAGCAGTTACAGAACAGTAGGAATGAGGAGCACACAGCACAAGATGAATGGACATTGAGTCTAGCTTTAGCATCATAAAGAAGCTAGTATCTCTAGCTTTAGCATCATAAAGAAGCTAGTAAAATATCTCTAGCTTTAGCATAATAAAGAAGCTAGTGTATCTAGCTTTAGGATGGGTGCGTACCGATGTTCCCCGGGTCCGATGTTCCCCCACTTCTATAGGCGGGGGAACATCGGACCCGGGGAACATCGGTACTTCGCGTATTAAAAAGTCCCGATGTTCCCCGGGTCCGATGTTCCCCCGCCTATAGAAGTGGGGGAACATCGGGACTTCAACAACGAGACTAGTCCCGCTGTTCCCCGCGTGCGCGCTTTGATGTTTGATGTTTCCTCCTCCACGAAAGATGGCATATGATCCGCGCCAACTTTTGTGAGAGAAAAAATACTAACTAGCCTAGGCCTATTTACTTTTCTTTTTCCCTCTCGCTCTTTGTGTGCTCATATTTCAGCTGATCGCAGCTTGAGTCTATGCAGGATATTTTTGGGCATGTTATCTCCCCTTGCTCACTCTCCCATGAGCATCTATATTTGACAAGTCTGACTGAATAAAATGAGGACGATTGAAACTAGAGCTACTACATCTGTTAGCCTATAGTTTTTCCAAATACGTGGTTTTGCTGAGGGCACTGTGCTTTTACGCATAATGGACACGCATATGACGTCGTTTTTGTTGTAAAACTTGAATATGCTCTTTTAGTTTTAGAGATATTAATACATATTATTCTATTCAGAATGCGTGCGTCATTGTGCATTGTTGTCCCGCCTTACGTGTCACTCACAGTTAAAATGTAAATAACCAATTCAAACATAGCATTTTTACAACTTGAACTTTAAGAAAAAAATTATCAAAGGAATCAGTGTAAAATAAGATCGGAAAAGCTCAATTCATGATTGTTTAATTAGGTTTCCCATTTTTAAATACAATTGGAAACGCTCAGAATTCAAAAATATTGAAAAGTGTATTGGCTCCTACAGTGGGGGGAATAATAATAATAATTATAATAATAATATAACCCCCTGAGCGTCATCACGTTCCTACGTTGCTTCAAATATAGTCCTGTTTATTGGCTGAACAATTTTGTCCAATATCATATCACACAGCGTGAAGCGAGAACAACCAGCTATTCCTCGTCTTAAAGATTGACAACGTTCTCAAAGCATTCACAACAGAGCAGCCTTTTTCATTTTAATTTTAAGAAAGTTCAGCGTGAACTTTGTGAGGTAGAGGAGCCAGAGGCCCGGGCCCGTAGGTCCCAGAGAGGAGGAGGGTCAGGCCAGGCTCGCCTTGCACTGATGAGGTAAACTCTAGGCCTGTGTGAGACACACTGTGGGCCTCACTGTAGGCCTCACTGTGGGCCTCACTGTGGGCCTCATGTATGAAACCTGCGTACGGCCAAATCAGGGTAAATGAGGCGTACGCAAAATATTACACTTTTCCGCATTTATCTATCTGGACGTGAGCGTACAATACGCAAAAAATAAACGCCAGGTCTGGAGGTGGTGTAAATCTATACGCTGAACTCAACCTTCGGCACAACACGCATGAAATTCAAGATATGTACAACAATAAACATATTCCCTCTGGCAAAATTATATGCTGTGTTTTCATTGAGGATCATGTTTCAAAATTTGAATTTGCGCATCAGAAAAAGTCTAATGGAAACACGCAAACTTAGAATAAATCACAGCTCATGATGAGGACCCTCTATTAAATCTGACTTGTGTGTGTATTATTTTGATCTGTATGTTTTTAAAATGTGAAGCGCTTTGTGAACCTGGACAGTCAAAGGCTCTATATAAATACACTTTATACGCAACAGGGATGTGTGACCCATCTATTGCTGTGGCAGGCTCTGCGCTGCGTAATTACGCACGGCTATTTGTATTCCTCATTCACATCTGGTAAAGCAATGTGTTATTTCATTAGATTTGTGTAAGCCTCACACAGACACACACCCCAATAACGCATCGATGGTATTGCTCACTCAAACGTCTCACTGCCCTGTCCAGAGTGCGCAGCGAGTGCCGTGAGAGGTCGCGCCACATGTGCAGAAGTTTTGGCTCCAGAGTTTCTTTGTGAAATCTGGACCGCAAACGCTCTCTGAAGTGTACAGCGCCTCAATGCGCACTTCTACCCCGAGCCAGGCTGCGTCCAAGACGCTGCAGACGCTTCATTCATGAGAGCCACCGCTGCATAATATATATGAATTAATTCATTCATTCAATCAATCTATATTTATTCACTTCTACAATTCAATAAGGATTTTTCTAATGTATCAAAACATTTTGGCAAATTGCGTAAATGGAATATACACCCAAAATGTACACCTTTTTCAACGCAAGTTTCATAAATGAGCTTGTGTGTATGTGCGCGCGTGAGTGCGTGTGCGTGCGTGTGTGCGTTTGAACCATATTCTTTGAAACCCCAATTCCAGTTAGCCCTTGTAGTTTGCAAGCGAATTTGGCCTACTTACTAATCTGCAGGCCTACCCAAAATTGCAAACCTGGTGCCGATACTGTTGCGAGGATGAACAGAGGGAGATATGTTTCCAAAAAGAAAAGGTGGTGGAGCTAATTTTACTTTTCTTATCTGCAACACGTTCTTATTCTGAGGTGGTAGGTTGGAAAACTGTAGTTGGCTACTACAATGCGAGATCTACAAGGCTTATAATATAAAGTATTCAGTAGCCCTAGACTAGTTATGAGCGAAAGCCGCTTGTTGCTCCAATATCCGCGCGCAGCAATAACATGTCTATGAGCGAGGCCCGCAGTCGGGGAACACCGGGCCCTCCGGCGTTTGGAAGGTCCCGATGTTCCCCGGGTCCGGTGTTCCCCGCCCCGGGGAACTCCGGACCCGGGGAACACCGGACCCGGGGAACACCGGACCCGGGGAACATCGGACCCGGGGAACACCGGACCCGGGGAACACCGGACCCGGGGAACATCGGACCCGGGGAACACCGGACCCGGGGAACACCGGACCCGGGGAACACCGGACCCGGGGAACACCGGACCCGGGGAACACCGGACCCGGGGAACATCGGGCCGACCCCCTTTAGGATAATAAAGAAGCTAGTATAAAATCACTAGCTTTAGCATAATAAAGAAGCTAATATATCTAGCTTTAGCATAATAAAGAAGCTAGTATAAAATCACTAGCTTTAGCATAATAAAGAAGCTAATATATCTAGCTTTAGCATAATAAAGAAGCTAGTATAAAATCACTAGCTTTAGCATAATAAAGAAGCTAGTATAAAATCACTGGCTTTAGCATAATAAAGAAGCTAATATATCTAGCTTTAGCATATTAAAGAAGCTAATATATCTAGCTTTAGCATAATAAAGAAGCTAGCATAAAATCTCTAGCTTTAGCATAATGAATAAAGCACATTAAAGAAGAAATAATTAAGTATAAACAGTGCTCATAGACTTTACCCTAAATCCTGTATAATGTCCATTGTCCTGTAGATTTTTTCTTTCCATCCAGCAGGAAAAAAGCCACAATAATTAAATCCCATATTCACTGAGCGATCCAAATAGGGTCTATACATATGGTATATTTTCCATGTGTTCTCAATGTTTTGTCCTAATTATTTTTAAAGATTTTCTAATCCATCCTTCCTTCCCTGACCACACCCTCCTCCCGCATCATCAGCCGCTGCAAAATATGACTAAAAATGAGGTAAAGCTTGAATCGAGTCGTTTTTGACCTAATTTGAGCACATTCTGACTGCGTTGAAAGTAGATTCTCCAGTGGGACAAAGCCATTTTAGTCTTAGTTCAAGTACTGTCGCTTTGTTTTCTCATTCCAAGGGAGACATTTCTGTATCTTTTGCTTTATCTCATTGTAAAATATTTTACGGCAGTCAAAGATGTGCTCAAATAAAGACAGATTTAGCTATTTTTTGACTTAGTTTTCCTTGCTTTCTGCAGTTGTGGGGATGTTGATGTGTATTACAACTGCAAAAACGACTCTTAAAGTAGCTCTCTGATTGAAAAAGGCTGGAGACCCCTGGACCACAACATGAAACGCCAACATAAATAGCCTCAACAACACTTCGCACATAATATTTTGTCTTTCTCTTCTTCAGTATCCCGCCACAGAATGCCCAATCCCATTACCTCCTCCAGCTCACAGGCCGGCGCCATGACAAAAAACGTCCAAGGTCTTCTCTTTTATCCGCTACTGCCCCAAGTCTCAAAATGTAATTGCTTCTAGTTCCTTTTTTTTTTTTTTTTGACGACATTTTTTATATTTCCAGTCCCGAGTGGCGTTATGACACAGGGAGTGACAAGGAAGGAGAAGCAGGCGGCGAGTGGAAGTCTGGAGACGGGACGGGAATGTCAAACGGAACGCTGTAAAACGGAAAATAACAAGTCTTTCTCTGAGTCGTGTTGAGCTCGGGGCACGAAGGGTTTTGGTTTTCAGAACTATAACTTTTTCTACATAATTTATTTCCATGTTTTTGTTTTGGATAGAAATACCTTAAACTATAAATTAATTTAGCCATTTACGGTTGTTTTTTGATTGGTCCTGGACTGGTTTTTGACTGGTCCTGGGCTGGTTTTTGACTGGTCCTGGGCTGGTTTTTGACTGGTCCTGGACTGGTTTTTGACTGGTCCTGGGCTGGTTTTTGACTGGTCCTGGGCTGGTTTTTGACAGGTCCTGGACTGGTTTTTGACTGGTCCTGGGCTGGTTTTT